CACAGAGACTCTCCGGTGTGCTGAAGCCTCATGTGCTGAAGAATAAAATGATGAAATCGTCAGCCCGGTAGTAAAATGAAAAAGGATGTTCTCCGCCTCCCGTGTTACGAGCGTGGAACGAAGAAAAAATATAGGACTCACCATCTTTCTCAAAATTAACTCACACGAAGCTTTCGTCACTGTTGATTCTAGAAGTTTACGGGATGTGTGTCACTTATGAGCTTAGTAAGAACCTGACTAAGCTTACAGTCTCTGTCGGTGGTCTTGTGATAGAGCGTCTGAGCTTGGCCTGACCCGAAGATTTAGCTTTCTAATTTCTATTTCTTAACTCTCAGAGCTAGTTTAGAGCTTCAAATGATTGAGAAGTAAATTTCGAATAGTTTAAAGACTTCTTGACTGTTCCTCTAAACGTCGTTATACTGATCTAAAAGTCTCAAAAGGCAACGGTTTCTGCATCCTCTTTAATACAGCGATCTGTTGATTGGTTGTTCTACATATTTCAGCGATGTGCTTTTCGAAAATTTAATTTGTCATCAATTGTTACGCCAAGAAGTTCTAATGAATTGGAAGATGAAATTTTTAAAACCGAGAAGGCCCTTGAGTGCAACGACTCCAGAGGTCAAAATATTCAATCATTTTTCCTTCAAGTGGCAACAAAAATCAAGATGCAAGGAAGTTCTCACAATTCAGTTATAACAGACTCGCTCCAGAGGTTTATAATGCATGTTTATCTCAAATTTAATTAGATAATTTTGATTTGCGTTACCCGCGAAGCGTCGGTGCACTATCTTTGACAGCGTGGGCGCTCAAAAGGGAAAGGAACGTGCCAGTTTATTCGAGCGCCAAACGCGCGACAATCTAATCATCACTGAGTCATTTTAGGCCTAACGCTAAATTTGCCACGCATCGATCATATGGTATTGTAAATTTTTGCTTTTCAGCATCCGACCTGTTCTTCTTATGCCATAATAATTTAACAGTTTTATGCGCAATGCAACTTTGGGGTCAGACCTTTTCCTGTTACATTACATTACCTGGTGCATTAATTTTCGATTGTATAAATCGCAGATTTTGTCTTTACACCATTGAGCAAATGATCTAGCCCGGAAGTAAGCTTATTAGTTCTGTTTTAATCGATAAGCCAATGATAAGTGCAGGCATGTTTAGAACAGATGCGGCGAGTTTTCCGGGAAACTGGTCATTTTCTTTCGCTATCAAAGAAGCATACACATGGAATTTTCGAAGAATTTTCGGAGAATGTTCGACATAATCAAAGGTTTTTTAAATGTTCAGCGTTTTAGTAGAGAACCCGAATGCAAATAATAAGAATTTGCTCGAGGCTACCACGGATGTTGACTTTATGACGTATAGCAAAATAGAATGGAACTTCGAACTCCCTAGAACTCGGAACACGAGTATATAAGGAGTTTGGGGATCTCGACTTTTATATCTAAATTACGTTCAGTATATCAATATGAGTTATTCTTCAAAGTTTAAAAAAATAATCGGATTTTTTTTTAACTTTGATTTTTTTGATTCTTAGTATTTGCATTCAGTTTCTTTGCCAAAGAGCTCAACGTTGCTTCATACTAACGTTCGAGTGTTTTCTAAGAGACATCGAATTCATTTCAGTTTCCATCGTTTTCCTAGTTGCAGTTCACTTCATGCAAGGTCTTGTGGTTTAAAAAAAAGGTAAGGAATAAACAACAAAATCAAAAGTTTTCAAAAATGCTTAGTGCACCGCAATTTCTTTGTTTACACTTTTCAAACAAACATTACTATTGTTTTCCCAGTAACAGTTCGCTTGATTCAAGGATACAAGGCCTTGCGGTTTAAAAAAAAGGAAGGGAACAAGGAACGAAGAACGAAATCAGAAGTTTTCAGAATGTTTAAAGCCATGTGAACCGGAACTTCTTTGTTTGCACTGTTCAACTGTCCCCCAAAACGCAGCCAATCTTACGGTGTCTTTCAAATGTGATCCACACCTTTTAAAATCTACGACTAAATCACGTGACACAACGTTTCCTTTTAAATTAACATATGTCACATCATCGGTATCAAACTATTACCCAATTATGAAGAATAATTTCAGCACTAATTTTCATTACACATACATCCTCCACTGCTGAATCATTGTTATTATTTAAACTATTTATCTCTTATCAGTGATTAATGGTTAGTATATGCAGATTCTGGATATACTAACTTCTTAATGACTTTGTACAAAATCTTTAGATAATGTACAGAGCCACCTTAATTTTTTTAATAACTTAAGGCTGGGAGGCTCTGAACCATATGAATATATTTTTAGTGCTAAAAGTGGAGAGCATCGAACTCCTTAAATACTTGTGTTCCCTGTTCCGCAGAGTTGAAGGTCCATTCCTGATCATTACGTGCATTTCCGCGGGTAGCCTCGTGACATATTCTGATCATTTACATTCAGGTTCTCTACGAAAGCGCTCAACAACTAAAAAAAACCTATCTTTATGTCGAACAGCTAAAATAAAAATAATAATAAAAGATAAAAAATTATCGGTGTATGCTTCTTTGATAACGCAAGAAAACAACCAACTTTGCCGGAAAATCCGCCGAATGCGTTCGGTTGAGAAACCAATTCCTTCTTGTTGTGAAATACTATTCATACCTATTTAAACTGATTTATGTTTTTTTTCCGATTCTTTTTTTTTTCTTTTTTGAGTGCTTGGCCTAATTTTCAGAAACAAAACCTTAAGGTTTTAAAAAACAATGGGGAATGACGAACGAAATCACAAGTTTTCAGAAATGGTTACCGAAGTAATTCTTCTATTTCTCGTCCTAATGTCGCCTTTAGCCCTCTGCTTTTCTCCAACGACGAAGAATTCGAATTTAGCGAGACAGACGCCCTATTAATAATCCCCGAGGAGTTTTTGGTCTCACTCGTTAAATTGATTCAAAACCTCTGAAAAGTCACGCACTTTCTTTTTACGTCAACTAACTTACTTGCTCATTTGCTTGCTTACCTACTTATTTATTTACTTACACAGACGATAGCGTAATAGTCACGGGCTTTATATCAGGCCACTCACCACAAAAAATTAAAAATCCAAAATCGCGTGATTTTCACTCCAAAATTAACCAACAAGATTGATATTTTCAGTATGGATGTATTTTTTTTTCTGTTGTTTTCTCTTTCTACCGGCGGCGCTGCTTGGCTGCGTGGGCGCTGATACAAGAGGAAGGTGCGTGGATAGTTAATTCGAGCGTGAAATGCGTGACTATCAAATCACCAGAGAAGAGTGAGCGAAATGATGGAAGTCGACAAGGCCGACGTGAAACTTGCCACACACCGATCACGTGGTATTGAAAATGTATTTCTTAGCTGCATTAAACTTGTCTATCTTCCACCTTAAGTTTTCAACACTTCAGTGTGCACCGCAATTTCCTTTTTTGCACGGCTCAAGCAACCAGAAAAAGAGTCCAAAAAAAATTATATTGATATCACAAAATAAAGATATGCATCAACCAATGAGTTGTTGCAGTATTCTATACCCTGTAAATCTTAGAAAAAATGTGACTGTAATTTCCTATTGCTCATTTATTTTGGATAGACACGTAAGAAAGGTTTTTTTTTTCGATCCAGTCACAAGCAAGGGACAAAGAAAAAATGCTGAGTCATGAAGAGTCAAACCTCAGACCCTTGCGCCCTGATGCTCTGCAACTGAGCCACAGAGACTCCAAGGTGAGCTAAGTCGCTATTGCATACTGCTAGGATCAAAAATGTCGAAAGCTTCATGTGTAGAATAAGAAAATAATGAATCGTCAGCTCGGTAGTAAAATGAATAAAGATGTTTTCCGCTTTCAGTATCTCGAGCGTGGAACGAAAAGAAAAAATTGGACTCAACATCTTTCTTACACCATTAACTCGCACGAAGCTTTCGACACTGCTGATCCTTGCAGTTCGCGGGATTGTGTCATTTACGAGCTTAATAAGCGCTTGACTACGCTTACAGTAAGCTTAGTGATAGAGCGTCTAAGCTTGGCCTGACCCGAAGATTTAACTCATGAGCTCTCAAATTTCTATTTCTTAACTCTCAGAGACAGTTTAGAGCTTCGAATGATTGAGACATAAATTCAGAGGTCGCACATCATAGTCCACACATTATAAGCATGACTTCTTGACTGTTCCTGTAAACGTCGTTATACTGATCCAAAACTTGAAATTTGAAGTTCACAGTACTATTTCCATCTCGCACTCGTAAATGTATTTGAGATTACAGCTTTTAAACAAAATAATGAACAAGAAACTAACTAACAGCATTCAGTTTATTCTCGAAATCATTCATAATTTTAAAAACAAAGCTATTCATAAGTAATAAAGTATTTTCCTGTATAAGAGGCGTTTAATTCTACTTATCTGTAATAACTATTCATGCGACTAGAGGCTGTTTTAGTGATATGTACATCATAGGTAAGATATTGATTAACAGATACCCCGTGATCCCCAGCAAACGAAACTGGCGAGATAGTTTTGCCTAGCAAGGATGAGGAGATATGAGGTAGCCTCTTAATAAGTTGTGCTCACCGTTCAAGCGAGGTGTGGTCTGGTAACAACCATTGAACGCGAAGTTATATGAAAACTAAATGCAAAATTTTACGTTCCATTTTACAAATTAAGTCTTTTTCGTTGCCCAGGAGCCCGTTTATTGAAAGTTCCGAAAATGCTGTTTTTCCGATACGAAGGGCTTTGAAATTCAAAGAATAGAAAATGTAAGAAAACAAAACAGAATGGGCTGGGTTTTGAGCAAATACCCGCTATACTATTCTTTAGATTAAAATATGACCCTTAAAGCGCCAAAATTTGCGTGAAACAAGCCCTTGGGACAAATCGAATCATTCTAGAATACATGTAGTATTGCATTGTAATACGTTTAGAATAATCGATGATATTAGCTCCTGTCGTTGTTTGTTTGTTTGTTTGTTTGTTTTTTTGCAAGTCTACCGTTCATTATCATTATTCTTTACGCAAAGTCTAAGATCATCATCGACGAGTTGCTTATTTTTGCCTCTCCAAATTTAGGGTTGTTAGTATAAAAAAGTCGATATTTGACAACAAGCGATAATGTTTTGATAGTTTGATACTGGAGACCCACATATCACCTGCACCTAACGCACCTAAGCTTACTACATTTGTTCGAATTTGAAATGTCAAACTAATTTAAAAACGTACCGATAAATCAAACCAAAAAAGATTAGAAATTAAATAATTTAAACTCGGAGCAAGATTTGATTGTGTATTCTGATCACCTGAGCGTGACAAGCCCTGAATAGGTAGCCCCTTCTTAACCGGACGATTAGAGAACTCCATTGAATTTAAGCAATAACGCTGTTATACAATTTATGTTAAAAGTCTACAAAATCTGAACACCTGAAAATTATCAAAATTTAAAAAGATTGTCCTTTCAGCTCCATTCCCAGGGTCCTCTCCATTTTATCAACAAGGCGAGAATAGAAGTGCCTGGGATGGACGATGTCATTCACTCATTGCCATTTGTCTGACTGTATAGAGGATGGCGGCAAATTGGGCAGCTGCGACTGCAAATGTAAAGGGAATATTTCAGGTTAATGCAACTTAAACTTGTTTTAATTCAACGCGAGAACATTCAAATCAAGATCACTGTAAAATCACGGGTAAAACCAAAAGAGACTGCAAAGCTCACAATCGACCCAGCACTGCTGTGGATTCAGAACTGTTCCAAGGCTGCATGCAAAGAGAAATTTTCTCTCGAGTGTCACGGTTAGACCAAAACCCAGCTAATTACGACAGCCAGTCAGAAGTTAACATCACAAACCAATGAGAGATTCAATTGAAACAAAGACAATTTCCTTCAAAGGAAAAAAGACGCAAAAAGCAATGATTGATTTTGACACTCCAGTTCACGCAGCCAGAAGTCGAGAGATGGACAGAGTCAGGCAACTTCCCCCTACAGCCTCCACCACAACTCCACATACAAATCCGATTCAGAATTTTAACTAGATACCGTCAAATGGAGGGGACCACTAACGCGTTCTTCGTTATGTTAGTTAATTCATAAAAAATCGTGACTTTGTGAGCATACTTACACGCCATTCTGTATCATTGCAATGGCACACTCTCTATGAACCTTGTGTGAGCATGGCAGAATTTGACAACCGCTGAATGCGTCCTGAAAAGAAATGTTGCAAACTTCCATTAAGTAAAAGTATTAACAGGTATTATCTATCAGTTTAACTTTTACAATCATTTCTTTTTCGAATAATTCTATTAAACGCTTTCTTTTGTACTCAGAACCTAGCTAAGAAAAGTCGTGCTCTCTTAGTATGTTGCTAGATTTCACCTTCATTGTCAATAACAAGGCTATAATTACAACAAAAGGGAAAAGCTGTTGGCCAACATTTCCTCTCGCAGAGTCGATTTTGTGTGCAACCAGTGTCACGGGTGTCTCTGGACAGTTTTTTTTAAGTCCATGCTCTTACAATAGCAGAAAGGAAAACGTTCCAATGTATAAATGATACGAAGAGACATTATCTAATGGAATCCAGACAAAACTGTGCAGTTGCTTTATATTAATCGAGCATAAACATCGACCTGCAGAGCTAAATTTATAGATAGAACAAAACAAATAACGTAATGTTTCACAACGATATCAGAACACAAAGTATTAATAATACAGTACAACTGATAGCGAAATCCAAAAACACTGACAATCATTTAACAGGTAGACGCGACAAAAAAGAAACGATCTGTAACGAACAAGACAGAGAAATCTCCTTCTCTGGAAGTTTTTCAGCAACACCGTGTTAAAGCGAAAAGTAAGTCATTACTTCCAAACAGATGCAGCACTCATCATGTCCTGAATTTTCTCGACACGAATGTCTTCCTTCTAGCCGTTTGTCCAGACAGACGTTACACACATCGCAGTGGAAGGAGCGGTCTTTAAAGATGCTGAAATGAAAACAGGAACATCACTTCGCAGGTAAATACTAGAGCAAAACTTAACATGACTCGTAAAGAAAATAAGTTGCTTATGCAAAGTGAAAACCCTATATTTCTACTCGATTCGATCTACAGAATGGAATCCTGATGCCTATGAGGAAGCAAAAATTGATATTTGATATATCTTTTGAAAACGATTTCGCAAAGACGGAGGAGAAAACACTGGCAGTGGTAAGTTTCATGTGCGTATCGATCAGGGCTTGTCTCTCTCTTATTATAAGCGTTGCTCTCGCCCCAAGGCTAGCGCCAGAATTTTCTTTCTATTCATACGGTAACACTTGATATCGAAGCAGGCCAATTACTCCCTTATTTTTTTGGAAAACAAGAGTATCATCCAACAAACGAAAATCGAGCAATTTCGCCATGAATATCGTTTCACCTACCGGCAGATACCACATTTTGTGCAGTGATATGGATTTTTGTCTGTGCCCGTGAAGTGTTTACACATAGAGCAGAAATATGCTGAGAACTTTGTTTTACATCTGGCACAAGTTTGGGCGTCCTGGTTGATCTTAAAAAACAACAAAGCATTAAAAGCAAATGGCATATAGTCTGAATATAACTGCTCCATTTCCACATTAATGTAATTTCTAATAAATGATATGTCTAAATACCTCTTGTTGATGGCTACAAACCGAGCACTCAACATAACACGCCTCTCTTGCTTTGGAATTATCATTTGGACATCCAGAATTGTTATGACAACGATGACAAGGAAAGAACTTTCCGCAGCATGGGAACTTGACACGACAGAGCCGCCTATAATGTTCACAGAGCCATTGTCGACCCTCGGCACCAGCGGAGGTTTGCGTAGGTGTTCCTCCTCCACCACTCATGGGGTTGCTGACTTCTTCTCTGTCATTCCTGCGTTCCGTTTGTCTTGTTTCACTTGCCTCCCTTTCTCTTCTTTCACGTGCTTGTTGTTCTTTCCTGGCCCGCTCTTCTTTTCTTCTTCGTTCTTTTTCCTTCATTGCCTTTTCTTTTACTTCCCTTATTTTCAAGGTTTTTTCGACAAGGGAACAGGCCTCGGTTACTTGTCGCTCTAGGTCAGCTAAGGAATCATCATTTGAGAGAGACGAAGTTTCGTTCAAGACACCCAGTGGCCCTTGGTAAACAGTGTCCTGATCTACAGGTGTTCTTGTTTCCCATGCTAGATTTCTGTTCATGGCTGCTTGTGGTAAAGCAGAGACTTCCATTTCAGGGGAGATCAGGCCTTGTGCGATTGAAGTGGTATTAGGTAAACATGCAGGATTTCCATTCATCTTTTTAAAATCAGAGTTTCTCTCTCCTTGTACTTCAGGAACAGTACGTTCATCCTTGACTTTTCTCTGTTGTGGTAAAAGGGGTGTTAGCGCTAACGGCGAGTCATCATTGATCAAAGCATGCGGAGGTGTCACTAAAATTCGCGGGTCATCGCAGGAAAGGGTTTGGAGATGCTCCGATCCGTTGCAGGGAAGAGAAAGTATAGGACGAGCAGGCACCGGTTGACCCCAAACTGCAGGGTTAGGATCGAAGGAGCTATGAGGATTTGGACCTTGTGCGTTGGCAGATACTTTTGAACTTTCAGAATGAAACGATGGTGCTTGAAAGGAGTAAGTAACTTGATATCCTTGCTCAGTAGTGAAACAAGATGACCCTTGATGCCTTGAGAAGATGTTGGAAGACCCTCCATCGGCGTTTTCCGCTGTATTCCCCATGTCATCGATAGGAGAGGTAATACCACTGTCATCTGTGTGCCGAGCAAGGAAGCAAGGCCTTATACCAAAGAAATTTGATTCTATGGTGTTTCGCATATCATCTCGTGGTCTAACCCTCTCCGGCTTTGCGTCCTTGTCGTTCCAGTTAATAACTGATTCGAAATTCTCGTAACCGAGGTTCCTGTTTGAGAAAAATGAATCTTGTCCACCACCCTTTATGCCTAGAAATTTCCTAGGCGTTGTGTTGTGACTTCTTCCTGATAGATGCTTTTTACTCTTGTTTTTTCCCTCTTGAGAAATCTTCATTGACTTAGAATCGACTTTACGTTCTCTATTTCTTCGGTTTTCATCCGTGACATCATTGCACCAGCTGGTTGAGGCAGCGGCACCACCATGACGCTCCACCTGGTCAGTAACTCGTGGAAGGTTGTCGGATAGACCACCTTCTCCTTGAAAAGGTGGTTCAGCAGATCCAGTTGATGAATAACAAGGATGATAATTTTGGATTGCAGAACTACCGCACGAAGCATTTTTTATGGCTCCATCAACTTCATCATCCATAGAATGCCCTAGCCAATCATTGGTTTGAGTAAACTTCTCAAAGTTTTCTTTACTCTCACGTAATTTGCCTTCCGTTTGAACCCTCAAGGTTAATGGCGGAATGAGTGGTGGTTTATTTATCTGTCCTTCCTCTGCACCGTTGCTAATATCGTTGAACTTTGAAACACTGAGATAAGCCATGCTAGATCTTTCTTCCTCCGAATTTTCTCGTTTTTCAAGTTCTAAACCACACGAATGGACGGAATTCACTGATAATTTACCTTTCTCTGCCGGCCCTGACCTTGACCTTCTGGAGACCTCAACTGTACCTTCTTCACCGGAGGATGACGATGATGAAGATGGAGATGATGATGACGATGACGATGACGTTTGAGGTAATGATGATGATATACTTAATTCACTGGATGATGATGTGGGCTCCACCAGATTTCCAGACTCATCAGAGTCACTGAGCTCTGTTTGAGTACTAAGATCACATGTTGAGGGAATACTCAAGGAATCTGTTTGAGTCGATGACTCCGACAGGAGGGACTGTCTAGAAAGCAAGGTCGGGAGAGGAGAAATACGGCCTTGGCGTTCGGCTTTAAGCTGCATTTCTAGCGGCTGGTGAACCTAGGAAAAGAACGAATCAAAAACTATAACAATAGCCGAAAATTAACTTCTAATCCTTCTATGGGGTTTAAGGCAACAAGAAGTCGTTCTTAAATTTGAAAGACGACAAAATTTTAGATTTCTTCAATGTAATGCATAAATCCCTGAAGTTAGCTTAAAAGGCGGTAAGAAACATTCTCCCTCTGACTTGGTCATATTTTTTATTTTGTTATATTGGTAAGCTGGATTTTACATTTAGTAGATGAATCGTTGCATAACAAGGATTCATCATCATGGTTGAAAAACAAGTTTCATGCCTACAGTGATGAATACAACATTCAAAACACTTACTCTCATTGAAATATCCCTTGCGTCTCCAGTCAGATGTGAGGCAGTACACCAGGCATTATCACTTTTTGTCTCAAAATGAATGCCAAAACTGCGAGCACATTTTTCCATTTTGTCAGCGATGACCATCTCAATAAGAGAGCAATTGCATAGTGGGACTTCTTCTCGGACAATCTCAACTTTTGTAAGGCTTTGAGAATAGTGAATCAAGTGGGTTTTCACTTTGATGGTGTCTTCATGGCACTGAATTACTATTTGCACTATGGGTGGACCTTGGATTTTCAACACGAGTTGGCTGTCTTTGATAACCACGTTCACAACCTCACCAAGCTCGTCTTCATTGGTTAAAATTTGCTTTAAAAGCTTTCCGAATAGAAAATTCGCAAAAACTTTGTCTTGGAAAATAAATGCTAGGCTTCCTTCACAAGTGTTCTCTAGGTTGACGAGAACCGGAGATTTCGTTTCAGATTCTGAACCATCCTTAGCTGCCGATAGCACGAGTGGCAAAAGGGAAAAATCACCAGAAATCGAAGAAAGAGCGCTTTCCGCAGAGGCTAGGAGTTCCAATTCTAGGAAATATTGTGTTGTCAATTCTATGTTCTGATGGCTACATGAGATCAAGTGAGGCAGACTGTCTTCTACTGCATTTACACTCCACACATTTATTTTATTTAGTACTGAAATGTCAACTCCACGAGATATTGGACACTCCACAAGAAATCTGTAAGATCCTTTCCACTGAGTATTATCAGTTTTGAGTGCCAGAGTTTTGAAAATTTGCCTCGATTTCCTTTCTCCAAAGTTGTCATCTTTATGTAAAGATTTTGTAATCTCCATACTTTGAGAGTTGCAGGGAGTATCTGCATCGTTTTCGTCTGAGATTTTTCGATTGTTCATCTCAAGAGGCGTCGAAAAGATCAGGTCATGCATAACTTGTTTGCCAAGACATTGTATGTTTGAACGAAAAAATGCAAACCGAAGCTCTTCAACGAGAACTACGTGAGTTACCTGCGGAGACTGTTGGTTTGACAGGAAAGAAAATAAACTATGCACATCAGCTATCATCTCGAACATTTCCATTTCTACAAACGACTGAAGGATTACTGCCAGAGCAATCATCAAGTTTGTATTTTCGTCAAAAAATATAGTTTTGCTTTCCGGTTTATCAAATCTCTTCGCTTTGTCCTCAATGAAGTTCTTCAACCGTCCGAATTCATTTTTTAATCTCTCTTGAGCTTTCGGGAAGGTTTGACACGTCTTAGATTTGAGATGACACACAACAAAAATCACTTTCAGTAAAATGACTTCAGAACAATCAAAATGATCGTAAAACAATCTTGCATATGAACACGAGAGAAAGAGAAAGGCGACACTTTGATCCACTCCAAGGTTAAACAAACAAAGACCAAATTTGAACCAGTTAAAGCTCAGCTTTGCACATAATTCCTTGAAGATGAAGGAAACCACAACATTATCACTTTCTGATAGTGTTCCTGGACAATCTCCGAGATCAGTCGGTTGATGCTGGTTGAGAACCCTTGTTATTTCTATACCAAACTCAGAAACCAGAGTTTCGAGTTTTAGTTGTTCTTCATGATCGACACGAGGAGATGGTGTTCTTCCGCTTTGTGAAAACAATTCAATGAATTTTGGCTTCAATTGACACTCAAATGAGACTTGGCAAATCCTTTCCACATTTTCCAGAACTGTCCGACTGTGCGTTAAAGATTTTTCTTCACATCCATCGAGCCATTCTAGCCTAGAAAGACCTGCATTGCATTTGAGAACATCGGGGTGAATAGCACCAAAAGCTCCGGTGAAAATCTCTAATGCATCGGTAAAGCATTGCCTAGAACATGCGAAGTTTTCCAAGTGGAGGAAAATAAGTCCTTGTTTTGAAAGAATGGAAGCAACTGTTGTGTGATCTGCACCACATCTTTCACGAACAACCGGTACAAGATAGGAGAAATAACTACAGACAAGGTCAAGATTACCTTGATAAAGGTGAATGTCGGCCACCGTCTCCACAATTGTGACTAAGAAGTCTAACGAAAAGTTTGTACTAATATCAACAAGTTCCTTCAGCCCTTGAAAGGTCGAAATCTTAGTATCAATAAATGTCGTGGTCCCACTAGAGGCTTGAAGCTTCAAACAAACTAAACGGATTTTTAACAAAATGCAGGTTAACAGTCCCTTGTTTTGGTGTAATTTTGTTTCACAAAATGCTTTTAAAGTCCCAAGTTCGTCCAAAGCTTTTCTAAGATTTCTGTTATCCAGAGAGGTTAGGGCTGTATTGTAATCAACAACTGCAGTGATTCTTGGTTGCATGGCGAAGCGGCTTACGTTAGAAAGGAGATCCTTTTGTAATTGCATGTCAGCTACATGGCTCCTCTGAGCCTGATGCACCAGTCGTAAGTTATTTGTTATTGTTGCTATTTTCTCCTTGACAGTGACACACTCTTTTCCTGTTTTGACTACCTCAAACATCGCAAGAGCTCTTTGAAGACTAACTTTTGCGTTTTGAAAACTTCCTTTGTTAATATACACGCAACCTAAGTTATTAAGGGCAACTCCAAGGCTAATAACTGATTCTTCGTCTTCAGCATTCTCAATGTACTCTTTTAACTGCGCAAATACTTTCTCAGCTATATCAACACAAATCGTGATTAAAGCAACAGCACCAACTACATTGGCGAAGCGGACAAAGAAGTTGTTCTTTGCAGACGTCTGGGGCATCAAAATTACTCCAGTTCGAAGACTCCACGCCACATTCTCTATCGATATTTTCTCTGCCTTGTTTACTATCTCTATCTCCTGTAAAGTGGGTTTTGACAACTCACTTGGCGACAAGTCTTGAAAATACTGGTGATTCTTTCGTAATGATTCTTTCGCTTGAACTAAGTTCCCCTGTTCCAGATAGTTAACCGTTAACATAAGGAATTCGATTCTGTCTGGGGGATCCATTTTCCTTGTTTCTAGGATAGAGAAAACAGCTGGTTCATTTGGAGTAAGTTCCTTTAACTTAAATGACGGTGATGATGATATTGATGGTTGTAAAGTTTATTTACAGATTACTTTGCTCCACCATAATATAACATTCATTCTTATTTAAAACAGTTGGACAAAAATGAAAACATGAAGTAAACCGATCCTTGACAGAGTCCGCTATTTTTTTTCTTTATATGTATTAAGGGAATAGTCATTGAGAGATTAGTTGTGAAAACAGAGTATGAGGGAGGACTTTAGAAAATTGACTGCCAATCAACCAACCCTCCACCCCTCCACCCCCATGATAAATATTGAGAGGTCCTTAAACGGACGTTTCACAAATCCACGACTTCACAATAACATTTCGCGTGACCTTTTGTCAAGTTGTCTCTCCCGTTAAATGAAAAAAAAAAAACAAAAAAGGCCTGAAGGAGAAATACTTTTCTGTTGAAGCCGCCAGGAAAACGATATATTTTCACCAAAGAGTTAGAGTTGACTGAACTCGTATTTGACGAACAAACACAAGGGCAAGTTTCTTTGTTCGAGCCCGTCCACGATTTGACTCCCACTAATCAGTTGTTACATGACGTTGGTAAAGAGCCCGTTGGTTGTGGGAGTGAAATGGTTATAGATGTCTGAGCAACATTATTACTCTTATGTACATTCCGTCACCCCATGTCACTCAACACTCCTGAGTTTGTTTACATTTGGATTAGTTGACAGGACATAACCTACAAAAACTAGATACCAAGCGCAAAGCTTTCAGATGCTCTTGTTTGAGAAGGAAAGAGAACCCCTCACAGAGTATTATAAAGTTTAAGAACATAAGCTCGCTGATTCCTACTTAGATCGGACGTAATTAGGCGATTTACTAATTGTATCTACATTTGATCAAGTCACTGAGGCTGATCAAGGGGCTGTGGATCGTGAACAATCATTACGCTAATCAATCATTTTATGATTTAATCTATGCCTCCACAGCACAGGTGAAATATAGACTGGATCATTGGACCCTTGGACTGATGGACTATTTCTTGGGCTATTTTTTTGGAAAATCGTACAAAGCATCTTCTTTAATTCATTTTCAGTGATACACAGTTTCCCCCTATAAAATACACTCAAGTCACGCTTAAAGTTGAGTGTCATGTCACGCATTTCACTCCGTAATAGACGATTAAAACAGCACAGCTTCAGCGCTGGATCATTTTTCTTTTAACAGGTTTGCATTTTATCGCTTAAAGGCGCAATTTTTCTTTCACTTAGCCGATGCATTGATTATATTCATTAAATCCACACAAGTGCAAATTACAGACTGAATTACTTTACACCACAACGTTCACAAGCGGACATAAAACTGAAAATGATCACTCGCTTGTGAAACACTTATAAGTTAGCTTTCTCATAACACGTTTTACGAAAGCAATCACGGAAACATATGCAGAATTGTAAGTCAGAAAAAATTACTAACCACTATTGTAAGTGTCTGTTGCAGATTTTTAAAAGTCTATTACCTCGTTTGTCCGTTTTCTCAGAACTCATCAGCAGCTTCCGGCCCAGTACAGTTACATCTCACTAATTAAGATAGATCGTACAGAAAAAGTTTGATAACAAGTCTACAGCACATATTCCAATGTAAAAGCAAGGGTAAATTGGTGCCAAATGTGTTACACTCCTATACATGTAAGCATGTGTTTGAATATGTAATTTGTGAAATATCAATGCAAATAAGCTACAGATTTTACAAATACAAAGCTTTGGGAATTATCATTGATATCTACCATAGAGAAATCATCAGCTAGGCAGAAGTACCCATCGTACGTTATGCTGGCGCGGAATCCAGAACCTGTAATGTATTAGGACAAGGTAACGACTTTCGCGCTCAAATTTGAAATTCATTGCGTGATGTACTAAAAATAGTAGCATGTAGCTACGTAAGTAGTTAACATTCCCTGGGCATCCAGCCGAATAATTAGGTTTCTATTCACAAGAGAAGCTAAGTGCTTACTATCTGGTAATTGAGGAATGGCCGGGAATCAAAAAGCTGAACGAGTTTATAACGCATTTGAGTCCACATGTCTCTTTACAAAATGGTTTCCGCTATGACCCATGAATTTTTCGAGGATCGCGAGCTTTATTAATCTTTTAAAAATTAATTCGAGCTTACCTATTCCAAATTGCCCTCGAGATAAAATTATTGCCTAGAAAACTTCACATACAGTAGTGTGCCTTTAACTCACACCATACACATCTGTTTCATGCAGTCCGCTGATCTCATGCAGAAAGGAAAGAGGAAATGAGCCTTTCCGTAACGTTTCGTGGAATGGCCCTGACAAACAATCTTTCTGTTACATTCCAAGTCCGTTGCTGAAAGTTCTTCATTCATTGTAATTAAAATAGTTTTGCAATAACTTACTATAATTGCGAAATTCAAAGAAAACGATAAATGATACCTCACTTTTATGTTACGAGAATGCGTACATTGGATTTTTGTACTTTGCATGTTTGTACTTTTGACTTGCAAATCATGTTTGATTCAATCAATTATCTCCCAAGACTTCCAGTTTCGGTTTCTGAGGTCTCGCCGAATCATTCATTTCTCTGTTTCATTCTGCTCAGTATAAATACTCAGGCTGGGATAAAAACTTGAAAGATCATACATTTTGCTCAACACGGTAACTTAACTTAATTTTTCGTACAGAACAGTATTTAAAACAAAAAGAACAATAGGATCACAATTGAACACCCCTGCTAAGAACATAAAAATTATAAGAGCCGGTTCAATCTGGTTACCGGAATAACACAAACATAACCTTTTTAAGCTGCGCTGTGTCTGGTTGTCTACCGGTCGTGATAATCGTATCGCTTTACATTTCGGAGAAACTCGCTCTCCCTATTAGCCAGATGGAGGTATTTTTTTTTCATATGTTATGACTGGGGTCTGTTAAGCGCTTATGACTTCTGCCAACTTGTTTTAAGATACCAGCGGAAAACTCAGCTTTTAAATCAAGTTTTCATATCACCGTATCAAATCATATGACTCTGGAAAAGCGGAAATTGTGATGTTATATCGAAGTAGATAAGCCTACCCAAAGTATAAAATCTACTCAAAGACATCAGTACCTAATTTAATGCCGTTTGACTTCTTAGGGCTACAGATTACATACCTTATTTAAATACGGTCTTGCTACTGCATATTGCTAGATCTACGGGACCTCGTCAATATCGAAGTTCCTGAGTTGGAAGAATAATTAGTCCATCGTTTACATGTGACTTTCACTCTCGAAAGCAGATTCCAAAACCCGTCTTACGGTCAATGTGCAAAGACCAACTAACAGGTATTATATAGGCTAACTGCAACGTAAGCAAAGATTCTCGAGATGTTTCGCACAAGCTGTTTGCCAGATAAAGGGACACGCAATATTAAGAAAAAAAGGAATTTCAGAATTTAAACGAAAATTTCAAAAATCATTTTACCATTTATTCTTCACTTACCATGGCACAATGATCGGTACAACAGTTTAAAAGGCTTTTCTAACTGTTATGATAGTAACCGCTGTGTTCACCAGGCAACCAAACAAATATCCGATACGTAAAGATAACTAGCGCAAAAATGAAAAGATTTCCGAAAAAATAATTCTAATGACGTAGGACTTCGCAAAAAGAATTAGCGAGAAACAAGGTGAAATAACACGCTTATAAGTTCTTAGAAACAATAAAATTCAAGATTCAACTTCAATCTGGCCATTAACAATTTGCTGCAAAAAGTTTCTTATTAGCTCTTTCCTTCCTTCTGTCGGGTGTTTCGGACTGGTTTTTCCCTCTTATCTACATCTTCTCTTTTACTGCTGTTTTTCCGCCCGAAATACCACCAGTTTTGTTTGTACACTTGACGATACTTTACGCAACCCCGAATATTCTCGAAATCTTGAAAACAAAAATAAAACTGCACTTGAAAGAAGGGGAATCCCCAAATTCAATTTCTTTTATCTATCATCCCATGTTACCGGATCAGGCTAATTGACCATGACGTCCAAAGATTGACCTCCTCTCAACCCGTCAAAATGAAGACACAATCGATGCAATCTAAGGGGCTTGCCGTTCTAAAAATGATGATACTTTCAAAACCGAAAAGGCCCTTGGATGCAACGACTTCGGGGGCCAACCGATTCAATTATTTTTCCCACAACTGGAAAAAAAGATCCAGTCACAAGGAAGTTCTTACGATTCAGTCATAATGGACTCGCTCCAGAGGATTCAAATAGACCTTTCTCACAAGTTTGATTTGCTAATTTTAATTTGTGTTACCCGTGGTCAAGCAAATCAAGGGGTGTCAGCAGTTCAAAAGAAAGAACTGGCTTAAGTTATGGTAAAAACCAGTTCTGCTTTTGGAGCATAAGCCTGCTTTTCATTAGTGCGCAAGCTCTAGCGCTAGGTAATTACACCGACTGAAAACGAACGTCGACAAGCACAGATACAAGCCCAACGAAAAGGACGCATTTTGATTCTTGCGTTTGTGTTCATGCTTGCATCGGGCCTTTTTCACGGTGAAATAAGGGTTGTGATGCTTTCGTTTGTGCTTGCGTCGCTAGAGAAAATCAGGCTCAACAAAAAGTAATGATTCTCGCAACAGGGAGTTTGAGATCAATAACGTTTCAGGGGTTTTAACTTCCCGAGGTCATACGTAAATTAATAAGTCCTGTAAAAACTGATCACTTGTTATGCTGAGGGAAGCAAGCCGGCATCCGCTTTGGAAATTGCCGAGGGGATCATGTTGGGCGCCGAGACAAAATCCAATTTCAAGTCACGTCTGAAAGGAGTTATCAACAAAAGAACCTTGATTTCAGCGCCACAATGATGGGAACCCGCCAACAAGAAGAAAAGTGACTCCTCAAGTTTCCTTAGCGCTTAAGTCTTTATAAAGGGATAATAAAAGCAATGTCATTCTACAGTGGAATTATGAGTTCTCGGTGTGACTGTTAAATTTGGTATAGCAGCTGTGTCGTGGTTGACGATGCTAAGGCATTTGTCTGCCTTGTCAGAGTGGCTACGTGTTAGGGAATGCTTTCTAGGTTTTAATTTGTTTTGAAGTCCTTGTTTCTTACCGTGATTCGGGTTATAGAGGGTAAAAATCTAAAGAGAATTACCTGAAGGGGCAGCAGGAGATTTGAGCCATCGGGGATAAAATTGCGGTTAATGTATGACGGACATTAAAGGGTAATCATGATCAATTTCAGTTCGAGTTGGCGCGTATCAAGTTAGGGAAGGTTCGAGTCATCGGGAGTCGACTGCAACTGTAAAAGTAAATCGGTTACAGATTGCACATGAAAGCAGATACAATTTTGTAGATTTAACACCAAAAATGAAGCTGATGTGGTGCGATAAAATCCTCTTGATTATGACGAGGGAAAACGGAAGAAAAACCGAAAGCGCTTTCTGTGTGCGAGACAATTTACAAATACACTCTCTTCAGGAGACGGTCTCTAAAAATAGAGTCTATGTCTACGATACATTAATATTTGACTGTTAAAATTAATTATACATACCCAAGGACTGAGCAATTCAGTAAGCTTTGTTTGCTTTATCAAGGTAAAGAGACGATGAATCTTTTAAGAAGTAAAACAAAAAGGCGAAAAGTGTTTGTGCCTGAGCCATATACATACAAACTTGGAGTTACATCTGCTAAGTCTAGGTAAACAAGCAGTGCGGAGGGTGGGCTACGAATAATTTGACGAAGAATTGAAAAACTCAGGGGATTGGGTTCGGTTCATGTTGACGCCACGATTAATTAGTCATTCACATTTTAAGTAGGAATGCCCTGCGGATGTTTTTGCGGGTATTACAGAGCGGAAGACCTAATTCTTCCATTAAATTTTTTAGGTGTTTACATAGACCAGCATCTTGCGGGAAAATGTATATTAACTACTTTTGTACAAAAATTTCTAAAGCAATAGGAATGTTGTATAAAACAAGGTTTCTTGTACCTAGTAAATCCCTCCTCCTATTGCATTATTCTTTTGCCTCTTGCCATTCTCTCCATCCACTAGAACTTCTTCTTCTTTTCTCTCTCTTTCTATCATATCTCTATTTCTTCTCATTCTAATCTCTCTTTCACTTCTGTCCTGTTCCGTTTGAAGTTCTTCCCGCTCCAATTCACGCTGTTGTCTTTCCCGCATTCTCCTGTTCATTTAGACCTTTGCTCTGGCTACTCCTTGTTCCAATGCAAGAGGACTGTTGTTCGTGGACTCTAAAGACTCAATATTCCAAGGTCTTATGTTCAGTGCAGACAATGCAAACAGAGTTGAAGCTTGAGTGTTCGTTGGGAAGACTTTGGCCGAAGGGAAACCGGTTGCAGACGAGTCGATAGCAGTGTTATTTGACCCGACAATCTAAAGAAACGAAACAAAATAGGATAATTTGCAAAAATGTTTATTATGTGGCAAACTCTGCGAGCGGGCCATTTAGAATCATTTTACTCGCATGGAATGCTCGTTTTGATGCCTTGTAAATCTATGAGATGTTTTTTAAAAATTTAAAGAAAATGA